AACAAATATTAATTTCAATTTATTTCAAGAAAAAAAAAAAAAAAGCCCAGACAGATTATAGCATGATATTGGACATTTTTCAACTAGGCATTACCATAAGTACATATTTCTTATAAATAAAAGACCACAGATATTGATCTGTCCTTGATGTCAACCTTTATTTACCACACAATATAGCCCCTTTTTGAAAGCAACCAGTACCTTAAGGAAAAACCTCAATTTACCATATATCCACACAGAGAACAGAAATAAAGACAAATTAACCCGACCCTTGCTAATGTCAAAACTTCAGCTCAATCGCATTTATAAATTTGAACTTTAAACAAACATTAAAAAGATGAAGAATAATCAAATTCAAGATTTTCCTTCTTTAAAATCATTATTCTAGCTATGAAGGCAGATATATTAGATGGAAATATGAACCCCTGAAGGCAGAGGCCAGCATGCAATGGCACAATTAGCAAATGTGCTCTTTGTTGAGACTACTGGCAAAACTGGTAGATGCTGGCATACTAATTGTTAGGCATTTGCACAAATGATGTACAACCGAACAAAAGGAAAAGTGCCTCACTTTTTTTTCATATTAATTTTAAACCTTGTGAAAGCGGTGACATCTTTTATCTGGTCACTTTTCAAATTAATAACAGATTCTAGTAAGCCCAAAGAAATTGATTTAATAATATTTTTTTCCGTTGTAATCTAAATGTCACATCCTTAGAGATTACAAATGAATATTTTTAAGGGAAAAAAAGGAAATGCAAAATTAAACAAGACAAATTTAGTATCAAAAATCTCATCATCAGTCAGTGTTTTTTTTTTTCTCATGAGTATATAAAAAAACAAAATTAGAGGTTAAATCTACAGTAAAATCTGATTAACTCCAGGGCTTACATATGATGATTTGATAAAGCACATGAAGCAACCAGGACTTTAAAAGAGGCAATAAAAAAATAAACGAACTGTGTCTTGACGGACATAACTCTTCTGAGGCGAGGAATACGACATACTGACCTCTGCTAACTTCAAAAATTGTCCATTATTTTCCTCTCCCTAATCATCATTTTACTGAGACCATTCTTCAAATTATAGTGACTCATAAACTGTTCTCATTTCAGATAAATTACTTTGGCATGGTAAAATATTAAGTAGTTTAATATTAAATAGCTAACTGAAAAACAAACAAACTACAACAGTACAAGACAGCTAAGTCTAGAGAGAAATAACAATATTAAAATAAAAAGCATAGGTGAAATGGGGATATTTGTTCTTTATTGATCGTTTCCATCATGTTATCACCACTTGAACACTGTGTACCGAGCTCGAGGTACAGCCTAAAGCTATGAAAGCTTATCTTCAAGAGATTATATATCAGATAATCACAGTGTGGTCTACCCAGGTAACCAATGACGGAACATTGATCCTACTAGTAATTGTACAGCTTAATAGTACACTTGATACTATATAAGTTTCTCATTTACTGTGTCATGCTTCACTTAACAGACATGCTTGATTAGAACTGGAAATCAAATATCGTAACCAATATCCATAAAGCACGTACTGCAAGCAACAAATATTCAGCGTATCCTCATAAAGCTTTTTTTTCATATCAAATGTTCTGCCTAAAAAACATTCCATCATTAGTATTCAGATTTTCCGTTTTAAGATTGATCACCTGTTACTTAATTTGTTTGCACAATTTCTGAGCAGTTTTCCAACAACATTGTACATAGTCAATTTTGCGACACATGTAAAGCCTCTCTACCTGGTTTGCAATTCTGTATAAGAGATAAGCTTTACAAATTAAGTATGTATGCCTATTTTTTTCTCATACAACATCTGTAGAAAAACAAGATTGCAGATAATTTAGGAGGTCCCATAAGATTTATAAATGTAGTATAGGTTTTATAATCAAGTTAACTTTACTGTTTGAGCAGAATTTCTACTTAGAGCAATACAGGAGATATATGTCAGATATTGATTAAAGCATCAGTAAAATGCCATGGAAACTATTGTCATTTGTTGTGTCAAGTGCAGGAGACCAGTTTAAGTGATTCTCTTACATAACAGCCCCGCAATCACTACCCTGCACATTTTCAGGCACCTAGAGAATATGCTAAACTAATAAGCTGATGCTGGAAACCTTACTAGGAGTGACAGATGAAGTAATAACACTGTTAACAGAATCTCAGGCTGTTGACAGTGCACTCTTGCTGCCTATATTGGGTATTTTGCTTACCCGTGAAAACAGCTTTTTATGTCTAGAAATGTGTGAAATGTTCCTATTTTTGGAGCTTGATCCATGAAGCAACCCATTCTGAGGACTCTGAATTCTTAACTTCATGATACAAAGTCATTATACATGGCCATTTGTGATTTTAAACAAGCATTCAATAAGATATGAATAAATATTTATTTACTGCGATTTGTGAATTGATGAATTTATTGCCCATGAACGCCCCACCCACAGGACCCTCTCTCATATGGGACTGATCAGTGACTTTATGAAATCTGTTATGAAACAAGTAAAACTGTCTTCAAATGTCAGTGGCGAATTTAGGGGGGGGGGGGTGTCACACTAATATTCCCCTCTCGAATAGGGTGATTTTCGGTCCCACAAAAATCCATTCGGTCCACCAAATTTTTCAATACTGTCGGTCCAAATGTCTGGCCATTCTGAAAAGTTTTCAGCATGTCTGGATATCTGACATATATCTTGATCCTGTGCTGCTCCAGATAGAAATTCTGCCCAAACAGTAAAGAGCAAATAATCATGGCTCCACCCCTGAATGTGATAGTAAACGCTGTGGGTTAAACAAAAAATAATCTGGGATTCTGTAACACAACTTCATTAAATCAAAGGTATTGACATCGTAATGGACGCGATTTCTTTCATGTAAATCTAGACTGCAAGTTTTAGACAAAATCTAGAAGTTTCCAATACAAATCACTGCGCGTGATACACACGCTCGAGACTCATGCTCTTCCATTCCAACCACACCAGAGATAAAAATGATACGCTTCTTTACCTTTTTGCAAAAAGGACAGGTAGTTTTGCTGAATATCATCACTTTGTGCTTGTTAATATGGTCTTGCACGATAGTTTTCGGGTCCCCCGCAAGTGGCGCCATTTTTGCTGCCCGAACGCTGGTGTTATGTTCGGGAGCCGGTGAACGTGTTCGTTTAATCTTGAAAGTAACCTCAGAGATAAATGATCCAAAGGATCCACGTACTTTCAGACTTCAACGCTGTTTAAACGTCAGAGTTGTCTGGATGACGCTGCAAAATACCACCCGGCTTTTATTCTCGTGAGACGGACGACCTTTGACCTTAATAATAATCTCATAGCCAAAGGAAATCGACCCAAGTAATTCATTGATCCGATACTGAGAATAAATTGGGATGTTTTCCATTGTACATTTTAATAATTGATAGGCAAAGTGGGGGTTGATAATGATATACATTTACATCTTATGAGGAACTTCAAATTAGAGATTATTGGTCTCATCTAACACAATCAATTTGCAGCACGCGGGACCTGCAGTACACAGCAAAGCTTCAAGTACAGGAGTGTTTTGTAGCCTTAGCTGAAGCTTGTAAAACTTGCAACAGTATTTACAAAAATAAGTAAATTAAAAAAAAATTAATTATATGAATTTTTTTCACTCAGAAAATTTGAAGTAAAGCAAAAATGTGGCTGGATGCCAATAACTGTAACGTATATGTTGCAACCGTCCCATAAATACATTTGCACAAAATTAAATAACTTTTGTAAAAAAATATGATTAAGTCGACTTTAAATAGGTACAAGCTTGATAATATGTGAAAA